CAGCTGAGGCCTGCCTCAAGCACCTCTGCCAAGACCCCCTTGTCAAGAGAAAGGCAGAACTTTCAGGACACTTTACTTTCAGTATTCTGGACTTGTCCACTCCTAGCTCCTCCCCACTCACTTTCCTCTGTTCCTAAGTCTGTAAAATGACAGAAGTCTTTTGTTGGGGCTCCCCAGGCAGTGAGACAGTGCCCTCTGTCTGCACTAATGCATCTGACGCTTACCTTGAATAGTTCCAGGGTAAGTAATAGAACAGTGTGATGCTGGTACTTCCTCTTACCCAGCCTCTTATTTATACTGTTTCAGTAAGAGGGTAAAGGCTTAACTTCTTTCATTTTGATTTGTAGCCTTAGTTGATTACTCCAACATTTGGCCACTAAGCCCTCTCCAGGTCAGCTCAGCTCTTAACACTGACCCCCCACAACCACCGCCTATGCTGCTACTGCCCACCTCACCAGTATCATACCTGCTGCCATCAGAGGCACCTTGTGCTTCTTTGGTGGTTTCTCTTCTACCTTGTGTTCATGAGTCTTCATGCTAGGGTGGAAAGGTGCTTCTAAAGCCTTGTACTCAGAGGCCAGCTTATGACTGTGTGTTTGAATTTCCTGTCCAAGGAAATAAATTGGTAATAAAGAACTACTTCAAGAAATTGATAATAAAGAACTACTTCTTCTGGGAAACATAAACTATTTATATACCCCCAAATACTCACATCCAGACAGGATTTGTCCTACCTTTCCAGGGAGAAAACAGTAGTTAAGAGACAGTAGGTTTTCTCCACCTTTCTCCCAAAGAAAGTATCTAATTCTCATCTCATGCCCCAGGAGACATGCACATTAGAGCATACAGTTGACAACCCCAGGGGTGTGTCACTGTAGAAAGAGATGAGAACAGTTTTTATCATTGCTCTCGAGGAGGCCAGCTCCTAACTAGATTAAGTAACTTGCTTAAGGACATGTAAACTTGAATTTATATAACAACACCTCTTACGACTTTCCTACATAGTATCTTATTGGGTCCCTATTAAAAAAATGGTAGATGACATGGAAGGAAAACAAGATTTTGTTTTCTTCTATCATTTTTACACCACAACTTCATTTTTCCTTTCCTCAATGAATCACCCCGACGACTCCCTAAAGGCCCACTTTGTAGGTAAGAGAAAGTAAAACGCATATTTACCCAAGTTCATATTCAGTACAAAGAGTGAGAAAAGGACTTGAACCCAACTCTTTAGCTGCGACTCCTTTCCCCCACCTTCCTGGACTTTTCTAGATGTGGTTCTGAACTGAAGCTAGGTCTTTCACCTGTCTGCTCAGGAGCATGTCCGCTGCCCTGTACTCACCCGGGACAGCACACCAGGCTTCAGCAGAATTTTGTTGCTGATGTGTGGGAGGTTGATCACATTCTTCTTCTCCTTGGTATACATAAAAGGGAGTGAAGTAATGTTGGTGTTTGTACCCTATAGAAGGAGAAATTGGATAAGGTATAGAAACCTCAGATAAGAAAATTCTCCAGAGGTCATTTCTTCTAGACTCTTTTCCACAACAAGGATGAGCCTAAACCCAGATTCTTGGAGGGGAAAAAAAAGAAGATTCCAGGGAGCAGAGTAATCTAGCACACAGGATCTGGGGTTGACTCCCCATTCCACCACTCACTAGCTGTAGACACTGAATGGGTCACATTGATTCTTTCTCTCAGCTTTAATTATTTCATCTCTCTCAAAAATGGGACCTACCTCATAGCTTTTGTGAAACTATGTAGAGTATTCCATAAGTGATAGCCATTATTATTCTCATTCCAATATTTTACCTTCCAAACATGGGGAAGGCCTTTTTGCTATACAATGCAAATCTGTCTTGATGCAACAAAAATTCCCATTTCCTCTACGGCTACTTTATAGACTTGACCTTCTCACTTGGGTCACTGCCCTCCTACACTGATTGATTAACTGATTGGGAAAGAGATAATCTAACTATCAACAAATAGCCATGTTTAAAACTGTGTGGAGAGAAGCATGGTGATATGGATAGAGGGCTCTCATTGTCATGCTGAGTTGGCCAAAAGTGCCTGTAAAAAGCTATTTCTTCCATCCACTGCCCTCGTCCTTTCCTAAAGTCACTAACCAACACTTCCTACCTTATGCAAAAGTCGGGTCATTTTGAGGTTCTTGATCTTGGAGGGTGGCTTCTGGACTTGAGCCAAAGGCTTATTTTCAACCTGAGTCAAGTAGAAGAAAAGTGTAATAAGGTCCCAAGCCACCTGGACCTTTATTTCATTTCCTTACAACAAGCAAGGTATACTTGAAGCCAGCTTTCCAGATCCCAAGCTAGGAAGAGTTCAAAGAAGCTCAAAGAAGTACTCAATGCATGAAATGAATTACTACCCACAAATAATCTTTCCAGAAGTGCTAATGATGGATCCACTTGTCTTATGATTTTCACACCTTAAAAAATCAATATATGCTTTCTTCCAACACAGTCTTAACCAGCATCCTTGTAGATGGTAAGGAATAGAAGTGGAGCTAATGTTATCTTGCTCTTTAGGAAAGAAAATGCTCTTAGTCTTGCCCAGAATTCAAAATGCCCAAAGATGCCTTAGTGGAACCTGCCAGGACACAGGCGCCCAGCCTGAACATCAGAAAGGCTTCACATCTAGAAAGGGGTGGAGAGGAAAAGACCACAATCTTAGAACAATTTTTTCCAAGGTAGTAAGCACACCTCAGGGCTAGGTGACATAATTCTGTGCAGGATGCAGATAGACAATCACCTAATGGCTATGCATTTATTTTGCTATCCATTTGAAAAACTATAAGAAGCACTTTAAGCATGTGATTTTGCAGTTGTTATTACTTAGGATGAAATCAAAATTCAAGTAAAAAAATAAAAGGGAGCATGAGATATGGCCAAAATTATGAAGGCAGCACTGAAATAACTAAAGTTTAGCAAACAGCCTTCAGTTTGAACACAAATTCTGTTCTTTGAAACAAAACTTAGAATTCTCTTTCTTCCAGACCTTCCCTAGAGACCTGAAGGAAGCACATCTAAAGCTGAGATACAGGGGGCCAGACCCTTTTAAATTTGGCAACTGAGGTACAATATTTATTGTCCTTTAGCACAGCTGAGTCTCCACAGAGCGGTACTGATGGGGGTATTTAGAATATTCGGTCTTGACCTCCTGGAATATGAAGGTAATCTGAGGGAGAGAAGATTTCACAGAGCACGGGCCATGGTCTCAGACCACGTTGGTTTATTTGCTAATGTGCACTACATGCAGATGTGGTTATCTATGAATAGACTGTGATGATATCTGAGGAAACATTGCAATTGTGAATCCAACTTCTCATTAAGTAGGTTTACGAATATTAAAACTCGGATGTATCAGCAGTAACAACAAGCTGGCATTGAGGTTGCAATGGAGAGACCAACAGGTGAATGGAAAGTACATCAACAAAATACAGCCCAGACTAAACATCAGACAAAGGACATTGGTGAGTGTCAAGTGTCGATAAAAAAAAAAAAAAGGAAGATACCACCACAAATGCAGTGAGCCCAGAAGGAGGGGAAAGGGACTTCTGGGGCTTGGTCTGGACTGAGAGGAAGGGAAGACGACATGCTCATTAGGAGAAGCAACAGTATCCAGGCATGCTCCAGGGGTTTCCACTGCTCAGAGAGGATAAGCTGGAGCACAGGGCTGGCTGTGGGTTGCAGAAGCATTGAAAGCTAGGCTAAGAAACTCGGTCTTCTCCTATGGGCAAATGTGAACCACTGAAGGTTTGCACGGTATGTGCAAAGCAAAGCCGTCCTTTAGAAAGATTCCTTCAGCAGCTGTGTGGCATGACAATACTCAAAGGCATGAACCTGAAAGTCACACTCTTTCATTTTGAATCCAGTTCCACTGCTCATTAATTATCTGAATTTGGACGAGTCATTAACTTCTCCTCCTATTACTCGAGGATATTATCATTAACAAGCTCATAAGGTTGTTGTGAGGAAGAATGACTTAATGTGTGTACAACACTTCAACTAGTGCCTCGAATGTGAATGAGTAATAGAGTTCAATTTTTCTCATTTGCAAAATGCAGAGAGTGATCTCTGCTCATTTCCCATGAAATTGATGGAGGATGAACAAGATGGCTAAAGGAGCTATGATGCTTAACTTGACAAAAGAATAAAACAAAAGAGAAATTCTCATAGATTAACATTATGGTAACTGTCATATACATATATTGGAAATGAACAATTAAGAAGTAGACAGCAGCTGGGCTGGGTGGCAAATGCCTGTAATCCCAGGAGCTCAGGAGGCTGAGGCAGGAGAATCTCGAGTTCAAAACCAGCCTCAGCAATATCAAGGCAACAAGCCACTCAGTGAGACCCTGTCTCTAAATAAAATATAGAACAGAGCTGGGGATATGGCTCAGTGGCTGAGTGCCCCTGAGTTCAATCCCTGGTGCCCATCCCCCCAAAAAGTTGAAGGCAGATGGTAGAAACCAGGTTTCTCTTTGTTGGAATGGAAATTTATGGATCAGAAAAGTCTGATCAATATTACCATCATGTTATAATGGACTATAATTGTAGATATATCTCATGTTTAAGTTAATATAGATACAGATAGCTATGTGTAGAAATACTTATGTATATGTGTGCACGTGTGTGCACATGTCCAGGTGGCTTGGGATAAAGCCCTGTCAAGAAAGGTTTAAGAAAATGTCAGAGCCAAGAGGAGATTAAAGAGACATGTCAACTAAATGTAATACAGGATCCTGGAACAGACAAAGGACATTAGGTAGAAATTAAGGAAACCTGCATGAAGTATAGAGTTTGGTTAATTATGACATATCAATATTGGTTCATTATTTATAAAAAATGCACTATGAGATATAAATAATAAAGAAAACTGGGTACATGGTGGGGAGTAGTGTGTGGAAACTTTTATATCTCTCTATTTTTTTTTTTTTTGGTAAATCTAAGACTATTCTAAAAATTAGTCTTTTATTAAAACAAAACTCCTATAGGAAGGGCAATGTCAGAAGGGCTGCCACTTATGATAGAGTACAAATTTCTTCTACGTGGTTCAAAGGACAGAATCAGGTCAAAGTGTGGGACTTATAGGGAAGTAAATGGAAATTTATGGATCAGAAAAGTCAAATCAATATTACCATCATGTTATAATGAACTATAATTGGAGAAATGTCTGGTTCAATAAAATGAAGAATTTTTTAAAATTTAGAGTTGCACATAAAAGGTAGGAGTCTCTCTGAAGCATTGACTTTCCCATCAGGTGGAATCCACTTGATGATCATCTGTGCAAAATGTGTATGGAACGGGAGTCTGGGCAAGATGTAATCTACAAAGTCCTATCAGTTTGTAAGATTTATTCAAGTGACTTCCAGATGTGTGTCTTAAGAGCTTTCTTCGGTTTGGATTTTCAGTGTCCTCCAAAGGCCCATGTGTTGAAGGTTTAGTCTCTAGTCTAAGGCACTCCTGGGAGTTGGAACCTTTCAGAACCTGGCCTCCTTCTGTTTCTCTCTTTAATGTTCCAGCTGCCATGAGACGAGAAGCTTTGTTCTAACACATGCTCCCCACTATGATGTTCTTCCTTGCCACAGGCCCAAAGCAAGAGGGACAAGCTACCATGGACTGAAATCCTCTAAAATTCTGAGGCCAAAATCAATCTTTTCCTCCTTATATGATTATCTCAGGTGTTTTGTCATAATAGCAGAAAGCTTGCCAACACAAACTTTATCTTTCCTCTCATAGAACCAAAGCTGCAATCTATTGAACAGAGCCGTGCTTCCCAACCTTTGTCACATCATGACACATACAGAAAAAAATTTAATACTTGTACAGCAACAAGGGTCAAGACAGGAGGCAACTCACAGCCAGGGGTTCCAGCTGCCCCAGGTCTAACCAAGTCACCCCTAGGATGGGTGGCTTCTACATCTCTGCACCCCATCTCTCATACTCAGATAACAATATGTTGTGCAAAATTATGAGCTTGGTGACTCTGTTTCCTGCAGTTTCTCCAAGAGGCACACAGTGTCCCATCACAACACTACATTCTACCATGGCAGGAAGAAGAGGGTGTGATCTCCCATATTCATAGTAAAATGCCACCTTTCTTTCAGACAGTGAATTTTGGTGTCATTTTCCTTTGGCCCTGCACTGATTTCTAAGTCAATGCAACAGGAGTCTCTTTAATAGTCTCTGTATCTACATTTGAACTCTCCTGTGTAAAAAAGACTTCATTCACAGGGGCACATGGCAAAGTTGGGGCTTCCAGTGCAGTCCATGAACTGTGGTTGGATTCTGGGAAATAAGAAAGGGCACTAGGGAGCTGATAGAGCCTTTTCCACTTCTCTGTGTGCATCGCTGTTCTTAGAAGTTTCCAAAACAGCCAGAAGTCAACTGTAAAGCTCCTTGATTTTCCAAACCTTTTATATAAATATGCATTGCTTTTATAATTTAAAAATCCTATTATTTAAAAACAAAAGGGCCAAATATGGTGGAGCAGGACTCTGGGGGGCTGAGGCAGGAGGATCCCAAGTTCAAGGCCAACCCCAGCAATACAGCAAACTCTGTTTCAAAATAAAAGATTTAAAAAAATGACTGGGTCATGTGGCTCAGTGATAAAATTCCTCTGAGTTCAATACCCAGTACTGAAAAATAAAAATAAAAACAAAAGGTATTACAACAGGTAATTATCAAAGGTTCAAATCAATGATGGGGCAGGAGGTACTCTGGGCAACTGAGAGCCTAGATAGAGTGGATTAGATTATAGAAGAGGACAGAGAGGACCTGGGCTGGGAGAACCTGGGAGGATAGAACAGGAGATGCTGGCTGGGGTTGTTAAGATTCTCCCCACTAGAGGCCCTCATTTAAATTTGAGGCCTCCTCTGTTGTCTCTATCTGTGCTTCCCATAGCCAGGTCATGGACCCACAGGGACTGGACACCACACGAAAATGCAAATAATTGGCTGATCCGAGCCTGGAGTTTCTTGTCCTGACCCAGGGTCCCTCCTCGCCTCTCTCCTGTCTGTTTTCTGGGCTAGCTGGCTAGTTCTCACTAGGCCAGGCACTTAGGTTCTCACACTTATTTTGTTTTCTCCGACAAAACCTTAAACCATGGCAGGTGGCAGATTCTATCTGCTGCTTTATAAAAGCCAGCTCACCTTTCTCAAATAGAAGCTCCGTTCAATTTAAAAGCTAATTAGGAGAAAG